ATTAAAGGGAAAAAAATTTAAAAAAATATGATCTCAGCTTTCTATTAACATCCAGTCTTACTAACAAGAAAAGAAAGATTCACATAACTTGGAGTGTAATCAAGTGTCATGCTGATAACCAGTGGTCACACCAATTGAATTCACTAACTCATCATTGGTTAGCCATTGAGAGCAGGCTTCTTGGAATAAGGTAACTACTTCCTGGATAGGTGAGCTTCTTGCTGATAGGCTGTGCTATGGAAATTTGTGAACTTTGAGAGAATTTTTGAATGGCAGTGCTTCTTTTATTAAATTTAAGCTTACTTGCTAAAAAATTCAACATCTAGGGACCTCTACCCTCAAAAAGCCAAAGAACATTTTTTGTTTGTTTAGAGACAGAGTCTCACTATGTCACTCTTGGTAGAGTGCTATGGTGTCACAGCTCACAGCAACCTCTAACTCTTGGACTTAAGTAATTATCTTGCTTCAGCCTCCCAAGTAGCTGGGACTATAGGCACCCATCACAACGCCTGCCTCTTTTTTTGTTGCAGTTATCATTGCTGTTTAGCTGTCCTAGGCTGGGCTCAAATCCACCAGCCTTGGTGCATGTGGTTGGTGCCATAACCACTGTGCTATGGGCGCCAAGCCAACATTTTTTTTTTTTACATTACTAAAGAATCATTAGGATTTATCAAATTTATCCCTGAAAGTTTAAATGATTTGTTTACCCATGTATTTAAAATATTTTAAAAAGCATTTTGTATTTATTTGCATTTTAATGTTTCTTTTGCAGTGTAGTAATGTTTGTGATATGTTATATGTAGTATTAAGAATAGCTCTCTTGAGTAGGGTGCCAGTCCCATATGCCGTAGGTAGGTGGTGGGTTCAAACCCAGCCCTGGCCAAAAACTGCAAAAAAAAAAAAAAAAGCTCACTTCATGAAAATTCTTTCACAAGATACATGGTAAAAATGTTTATTTAGCTTAATCAAAGACAAATAATATATCAAAAAAACTGCTGTTTTAACCTACTATAGGTACATAGAACAAGGTTGTCCTGTATTACCACTGCTACTCAACATAGTGCTTGAAGTTCTAGCCAATACAATCAGGGAAGAGAAGGAAATAAAGGGCATCCAAATGGGGGCAGAGGAGGTCAAACTCTCCCTCTTTGCTGATGATATGATCTTATACTTAGAAAACCCCAGAGACTCAACCCCAAGACTCCTGGAAGTGATCAAAAAATAGAAGAATGTCTCTGGATATGAGACTTTCTAAAAATCAGTAGCCTTTGTATTTGTTAATAACAGCCAAGATGAGAAGTTAATTAAGGACATGATCGATTCCCTTCATAGTAGTGTCAAAGACCTAGGAATATACCTAAAAAAAATAGGTGAATGACCTCTGTAAAGAAAATTATGAAATCCTAAGAAAAGAAATAGCAGAAGATATTAACAAATGCAATAACATACCATGCTCATGGCCAGGAAGAATCAACATTGTTAAAATGTCTATACTTCCTAAAGCAATCTATAGATTCAATGCAATCCCCCTTAAAATACCAACATCATACTTTCTTTTTTTCGTTGTTGTTGTTGTTGTTGTTGTTTTTCTGTAGAGACAGAGTCTCACTTTTTTGCCCTCGGTAGAGTGCAGTGGAGTCGCTCTAGCAACCTCTAACTCCTGGGCTTAGGTGATTCTTCTGCCTCAGCCTCCCAAGTAGCTGGGACTACAGGTGCCCGCCACAACAGCCGGCTATTTTTTGTTGCAGTTTGGCTGGGGCTGGGTTTGAACCTGCCACCCTCGGTATATGGGGCTGGCACCCTACTCACTGAGCCACAGGCACCTCCCCAACATCATACTTTCAAGATTTGTATTCTGGAATTTCTAGATACATAATTTTTTTTAAAAGGGTAAAGTACTCTTGGCTTCCATCTTTTTTTTTTTTTTGGAGACAGTCTCACTTTCTCACCTTGGGTGAAGTGCTGTGGTGTCATAGCTCACAACAACCTCAAAGTCTTGGGCTCAAGTGATCATCTTGCTCAGGCTGGCCTCAAACTCCTGAGCTCAGGCAATCCACCCACCTCAGTTTCCCAGAATGCTGGGATTATAGGTATGAGGCATCACGCCAGGCCCTTTGGCTTCCATTTTTTCATCAACATTAAAATGGAAAGAGTATAAAGAGCTTTACACATTCAGAAAAAGAAAAATTGTAGAGTCCCATTTTCTCACCTGTGAAATATTCACTTCCTGACTTCTTCAACCCTGTTTGCAACTCTTAGTATTGTGTGCAGTCAGCTATTTTTCACTGAGCTTGTGCTGCCAGCTGGAGTTAATCGTCCTGGATATCACACTATTTATCCTCTCTCTGTGCTCTGCCTTCCAAGGTGGCATATATCATTTTATTTAATTTCCCAGTAAGCAACCTAGTGGTTCTTTCTGATTCTCTGCAGTTCTTAACTTTTTGTTCATACCCAGATCTGGAACCTATTTCATTTTTTGTTAATAGTCCTAAACCCATTCATTTCTGTTGTTCCAGTGGTCAATTTATTTGTTCCAATTCTTGTCTACTTTGAGCCAATGGCAAAGACAAATCTCTAAGCTCAGTTCTGCCCCATATGTAAATGAGAGTAACATTAAATCACTCAGTTTGTTTGTTTGTTTGTTTATTTTTATTGAGACAGAATCTCATTGTCACCCTGGGTAGAGTGCCAGGGCATCACAGCTCACAGCAACCTCAAACTCTTGGGCTTAAGAGATCCTCTTGCTTTAGCCTCCCGAGTAGCTGGGACTATAGACACCTGCCACAACATCTGGCCAGTTTTTCTATTATTAATAGAGACAGGGTCTCACTCTTGCTCAGGCTGGTCTCAAACTCCTGAGCTCCAGCTAGCTGTCCACTTGCCTCAGCTTTCAGGGTGGGACTATAAGCTGGGACTGTGGGCACCTGCCACAATATCCAGCTGGTTTTTCTGTTTTTAGTGGAGATGGGGTCTCACTCTTGCTCAGGCTGGTCTAGAATCCCGGAGCTCAGGGGATCCACTAATCTCAGCCTCCCAGGCTGAGGATTATGAGCCAGAAACACTGCACCCAGCCATATTTCTCCACATTTTCTATCTATTTTCCATTAAATGAAACTTGATAAAACAAAAACCTGCACTACCAATTTCCTGTTCTGTTACTCTGTCCACCTTGACTACGAAGTGTCTGTTTCGATCCATTGTGCCTATTGCAGCTGTGATGAATCAAATATATAGAAATGATTGGAAAACAGTCCACATCTTTAAATAATTATATGTAGCATAGGCACAGAACTTTATGGTTTAACTGTGTTACGTACTAATTCATCTGATACAATGAGTTTAGTCCTTGCTGTCATCCCCATTTCACAGCTAGAGACAATGAAATTCAGAGGATGAGTAACATTTCAAAGCCTCACGGGCTGAAAAGAAGCTGTAGATTATGTTCATCGATTTTCGTTATTTTGAAATGCATCTTCACCTTCATCTGCTTTTAAAAGTAAAAAAATAGATTTTAAAATCAACAATAAATGATTTTAATTCCTATACTTCAAATAATATTAAACTCTGGCAGATGAATATATCTTTCTATTTATTTCAGAACATTAATTTGATTGCCTGATTTCACAGCCAAAATCTATTACACTGCTTTATTTCCTGATGCTGGCAACATAAGCATAGAAGGAATTAAGATGAGTTGCTAAATTATTATTCTGTTCCTAAAATTTGCCTGCTATATTTTCATATAGTCTAGATCAATATTAAGGTACCTAACTACTTTCTACCACTTACGGTCAATTGGAGAAATGCTCATCAAATCTATTTGCTCATCAAATCATATGTCAGGTGTTGCTTTTGTATTATATTTGTATGTTAATTATACATTACATTTCATTATTGTAATATTGTATTTGTATTATACAATACAAATGGATTCAGTAACATTTTTGTGAATTGTGAAGACTCGAAACACCAGGTCTGAACTTTTAGGGAATCATTCAAGAGTCTCGTGATACTAAATTTTATCACTGAACTTAGTTTAAATAGTTTAAACAAGGCCAAAATTTGTCATATGATGATATTTTAAAGATACATTTTTCTTACTGAAACTATGTGTTTACCATAGAATACTGAAAAGACGAGACATTGAAATGCCAAAAGAAGAAATAAAAATTACCTGTAGTCCTTTCATTTGGTTAAAACCACTATTAAATTTTGGCCTTAGTCACTAGTGTTGCCCTTAACATATAAAGCAGATCTTTGTGCATAGTATTTCTTAATCAATATTAGAGAATGAATAAATGAATTAGTGATATATACACCGGTATGACTGTTAAACAAAAATTAGATCATACTGTAGGTATTGCTTTTTAACTTGTCCTTTTCTTCACTTAAAACATCTGTAGTAGTTATGTTAATCCAGTATTATCCTCAAGATCATTTTAATTAATGCATCATAGCCGAGTAAAGAGATGATTTTAATATTTGTTAAATTAGCATAACATTCCTGTTATTGATATTGCCCTATTTTGAACTACCAGATCCTTAAAAGTCCTAAATGTTTCACAGTTGGAGCCAATGTCCAGCCCTGTCTCCTCGTGTCCCTGGTTCCTGGATCCAACCCAGTTTTCCCCTGGAAATTATTTGCCTTTTCTCAGCAGTGACCGCACCAAGCTCTTTCCCTACATGGGCCCCATGACACACTCTTCTGACACAGTGCTGTCCTGAGCCTGTTCCTGAGAACACACATGCAGCCTTCCAAATCCAAATCCAAGATTTCACTCCCGCATCCATTAGCACCATGACCTTTGGGAATTAGCAGAAATCATTTAGTACAAGTCTTCTAGTAGAGAAGGTGAGAACTGAAGTTTTACATCAATTCAGGAAGAAAAAGGGAGCATTTTTGGTTGGAGTAAGCAGTTAAAACTCTAGAAGATTATTTCCTTATAGTCCTGTGAACAAGAAAAACAGTCTAAGGCAGCGTATTCTTTTCTTCTCTTCAGGAAACAGTGGCTTTTAATTCTTCCCTCCTGAGGCCCCGGGTGATTGGAGAATGGATTGGTAGAGAAGAAAATGATGCGGACCCACTGGCCGCTGAAATGCTGCAGCCCCCGGTTCCGAGAAGTAAAAATGACCAATGGGAAAGCGAAGACAGTGGCTCTAGCCCTGCAGGAAGGTGAGATGAGATGCCTGCTCAGATTCTGTATTCTCAGTCATTACAGGTAAAGGGAGAATAACCCCAAGTGCATGATTTGATGAGATCCCTTCTAGCAATTTTATGTAGAAATTATGTTTGATTCCACATGGCATAAAACATTATTTTCTCTGTTGTAAAATGAGAATGTTGTTAGACTTGTTTTGCGGTTTTGGTTTTGAGTTTTTTCTTCATATCTAGGAGTTCAGCATCTCTTTGCTACTAATAATTTCAAGGACATGCACCGTCACATTGAAAAGGATGTACTGACCTACGTCCTTTTAGGTTATAGGATGTGCAGGGAGTGGCTGGCTGTTAAGAATTGGAGAAGAGGGACTTTGTTCATATAGGAAATATATAATTAGTCATCAGAGACCATAAAACTATTAAGTATATAACAGACCACTGGAGGCAGAGTTAGCGTGGACTAGAGAGAGAGAGAAACCTTGATTTAGAACCATCTACATTTAGAGTTGATAACTGTGATTGAATATAACGATTTACACTTTTTTGTTTAGTTTTAGAAGCTACTATGATTTGTGAATTTGAAAATCCATATTCTTTTTATTGTACTCAGACCCCAGATACTCAGAATGGTGGCAGGAAATTTTCCTTAAGTGCCCCCACGCTAGTAGTGGAGTAATGCTGAAATGTCCAGATCATGTTCATTAGAAAAAGCTGTGTTCAGGATATTCCTTTTCTTTATACCAACTGCAATGGGTAAAACTCAGAACAAAAATGAAAACTTTTACAAGGCATCTGGGGTACAAAGCATCACAGGGTGCCTGGCATAATTGAGATTGAGAAAAAGGATTTAAGTGCTCCGGAACTGAAATGTGACAGGGGCTTAAACATTGGTGAGTGTTGCCACCTGAGCATCACAGAAGAGTGTTTTCAACCCACAACATGGTTACAGTAACTTGGTATTTTCTATGTTACATTTAGCAGCAACCAATAACTATTCTTTCTCAAGGAGAAAATTACATTTTCTACAATGTAATAGCTTTCAGGGGTTCTTTGCTTTGACTTATCACTTGGCTGGAGGGGAGGAAATTCAGAATACTTGTTAATATGCTTCAGGCATATAGAAAATTGATTCTATTTTCATGAGAAATAACTTTCAAATTATTTAAAGAGTTGAAGTGTCCTGTGTAAGGAGAAGAAAACCCTTTATAAAAATCCATTTACCTTCTTTTATGAAATGCCAGGTCAATTTCACCTGTCAACCAGGGTAATTTTATATTTAATACTAGACTTATGGAAACCCACCAGACCTTTATTTTTATGCAGTGGTAGATCTTTAGTTCTTAAATGTAAAATAGAGAAATGTCAACTTTCATTTGGCTTTCAGTTAGTCATAATAATAACCAGAACTACTTATAATAAATGTTAGGGCTTCTGTTTTCTTCCTAGCTTCAATGAGCCCTGAATCCTCAGTCAAGGGGAGTGTTTACTCCAATCCTAGTTGATTCCCTTACTCAGAAAACGCAGTCCATGAAGAGCCAGTATTTGTTTGAAAAGTTGTTTTTGAAAGGTGTAAGTGGTGGCACCCAGAGAGGAGACTGGAGCAGAGATGTTCAGGCCAGGTTTATTGAAAGGGGAGCGTGACTCGATTGGGGGGCACAAAGGTGGCATCTATGCCTGGGGGCAGTCAGAGACCCCTTTTATATGGGGCCCATAAGGGGTGGACAAATTCCATAGTTGGCTCAGAAAGTTAGAGTCCTTTGGCATGAACCTGTCAGGGATGGGGCTAACTAGGTCCTTTGTCTTAAGAGGAGGGAGGATGGGGAGAAGGAGAAAGAGGAGGAAGTGCTTGTGTTTGACTGTGTTAGGCGCCCCAGCGGTTTTCAGCTTTCTTTTTCCCTATCTTTACATTATAAGTTGAGGTATTACTCTGTGACATAAAGAAAGTGTAAAGTGCTGCCTGGATGCCCCATTAGAGCAGAAAGAATACATGCGTATCTGAATTAGATTTAGAGAATAGTGATGAACTATGTGTTAGAAATGAATTTTTCCCATCTTCTAATACACAACAGGATTTCTAAATTTATACCAGAAACTCACACAGCATTAAATGAAGTTTGAATAAGAAAGGGCAGGAGAGAATTTTTAATGACCCTAGAATCTGTAGCTGTAGTATTAGCTTTTGTCCTTAAATAGCAATGAACTTGTACTATACTTTAACAGTAAAATATTAACAGACAAAATGATATTCTGTACTCCTGAACGAGGAAACTTAATTTTCAAGCATGACTTCATCCATTTTCTAGCTCCCCAGCAGGGGACGAGGGGCTGGCACCTTGGTCACTGACATGTTTTACATGTGTGGAGGAGGTAGAGACTGTCACTGGACATCTGTGAAATAAAGTCTGTTGACAAGAATTGGTTTTAGTTCTGTCTTCATCTTTCCTATCTCAGTGGGGTTTTTAAAAATTTTTTTTGCTGTTTATTAAGTCTCATTTGAATTGTTATAATTGCAATACTCCCTCAATAGCCAACTTGTTTCTTCATTCAAAATAATAGATACATGATAAGCTGGAATTTCAGCATTAAATTAGAGAGAATTTATGACATAATCAACCTTGAGAGTCTTATCGGTAGAAACTTACCCAGAACTTTTCCTGGAACATTTTCTTCAGTGATGTTCCTCACCTGAATTTTTTTTAGATAACCCCCCAAATATAGCATTGTATGAAGAGGGCAGGGGACTTTGGTGGGCATAGCTGCAACCTGAAGGATTAAGTGCTGATGAAAACAAAGGCAATTGTGAGGCCTCTGTGAATGGAATAAAATGAGAGGTACTAACCTGCAGTCCATGCCCTTGGTGGTTTGGGGATGAACCTGGAGAGATCTGTGACTCTCTAGATATTATGTATGAAATGTGTGTATCTGTGTAATAGAGTCATTTTCCTGCCACATTGTTCTTAGAGTCTCAAAGAAATTCAGAATTAAGAGAGAAAAGAAAGCATCTGAGCAAGAAAGGGAGAGGATTCACAGAAGAGATGGGTGAATGTGCTGGGGAACGAGTGAAGTCTTTCTGTGATTGTCAGACACTCCCGCTGGCATCACTTGCTGCGGCTTGCCTAGCTAAATGGTCGGAAACACATATTCATTCATTGCACATTTAGGGTTATTAAAAGTAATCCCACATTTATTAGATGAATGTAAACAAAAATTGAGTTTAATAAACCCACATGATCTTGTTTTAAGTCGTCTTAATTGGATTTTGCAATAGCTGCGTAATGGATTTCCTAAAATTACTTGTTAAATTGTAATGTGGATGTGTAAATAGTCTCATCAAGCCCTGAAAACCTAATGAAGTTCCTCTAAATCTCAACTGCCTTATTAAAACAAGAATAATATTCATAAGTAGTATAGATCTGGTCAATTGGCATTATTTGTTGAGCAAACATTATTATTAGATTGTAAATATGCCGTAAAGAGAAAGCCATATAATTTAGAAATACGTATTAAATATTAAAATAAAAGCTAAATTCACTTCCCATGAAGAAGTTTTCTTTCCATGAAAGCTCATTATTGCTTCTGATAACATCAGTGAACAAAACCCGGAAATTTCCCCTGTTCTGATAGAGTTTTCTCTGTCGACAGCAAGAGGCAAATAATAGACAAGTGAAAGTACAAATATATACTATAAACTAAAGTAGCAAAGGATGATATGATGGAAAAGAAATAAGAAAAATAAGAATGAATTTGTTCATGCATTTGTTCATGAGAAATTCAATAACAAAAAAGTAACCTAATGTCAGATTTGGGCATTGTGAACATGATAGAAAATGCGTAATACGTATGGCAGAGATAAAGTCAAACTTAATAATATATAAATATACTAACATATAGATTTTAAGCATAAAGAATGTTGATTAATGAAAAGCTAACCTGCCAAAAGAATCCAAGCACAAAAGCCTTAAAAACACTGTATCTAAGACAAACAAAAATGTAACTCATGACACACCACTTTCTTTTTAAAGCCAAAATAGTCCATAACTAAAGCATATATTTATTTCAGAACACTGATAAAGCAATTTTGAGAAATTTACAATTTCTGTTTTATTTACTTAGGAATTTATGTAGGAAATACTTATTGTAGTTTAGATCATTATTTTATGAAACATACACGAATCATCCACAGACTTCACATGGGTTACAAAGGCTTTGGATTTAGTGTCCAGGTCTCGTGGCTTTGTACCATCTTGGTGACCAACCATGTGTTTTGAGACTAGAGAAAATACTTGCTTCACCTCTCAGGAAATGATATTGGTCGCTGTTGGCTGAGGAGTAAGAGTAACAGGTGTATAATCTATCATTTGTACCATTTCCCTGGATTTTTATATCTCTCAAGTTTGAAAGATGTGTACATCCACTTAAACTGATGCTCATTTTATTTATTAATTTTTATGTATTTTTTATTCAGGATGACCCTTTGGATCCTTTAAACATGTAATGATCCTAATTACCATCTAGAGACTGCTTTATGTACTTTGCATACTTAAACCTATTTCATTCTCATGAAAACATTATTCTTCTCTACGAATACATCCTTGCCTGAAGATTGGATAGCAATTAAGTGGTTAAGCTACTGTCTTGTGCCAAATTCTGTGCCCTTAAATTCTTTGCCTCTCGTGGAAAGGAGTTCTAACAATCCTGTTATCCTTAGGATTTAGGTTCAAATGGGAAGAAGAATGGGCCCCAGACTCTGGTGTTCGTAGAAAGGCCCACTCCTCCTCCCCCATCTCAGTCACCACTGCCTGCAGTAACGCCTGCCTTCCCAAACTAGGCCACTGCTTTCTCTCTCTCTCTTTTTTTTTCCTTTGAGACAGTCTCACTTCAATTCCCTTAGTAGAGGGCTGTGGCGTCACCTCAAACTCTTGGGCTCAAGCTGATCCTCTTGCCTCAGCTTCCCAAATAGCTAGGACTACAGGTGCCTGCCACAATACCTGGCTATTTTTTTTAGAGATGAGGGC